GACATTTGATGGATTACACATCTGTGTCCAGTCCTTCTCATACCCCCCCCCCCCTCACCAAACATGCAGCGGATAACGCTTCTCTGTGCACTCCATCGCTGCAGACAGGGGATACTTGAACATGCACAAAGGTCTGTTGCTCCCAGATGTCAGATGCAATTTGCTCTGGGAACATTTTGTTTATTTTGAATGCCTTCATGGAAAGGGGCTTCAGCTTCAGTTTTTTAGAGCCCGAGCTCTCGCTGTCTGGCACATTTGCATGATACAACTATGCGTCTCAAAATAACCCAACAGCTCATTTCCTTTTTATATAATCTCCAAATATTTACATAAGCCTATTAAAATGTGATGTTGAAAGCCAGCATGTCTCCAGGCAGAAGATGTGGGAATGCATTCAGATGCAGGCTGTCTCTGTGCTGTAACTGCAGCTGGCTTGGTTTAGTGAAAAATATATTGTTGATCCCATAATTGTGCCTTTTTTAAAGGCAGCCAGTGATTCATCTTCCATTCTATTGTGGGGGGGCTGATGCTTCACTAGCTGGGGATGTGAAGGAGGAAGAGTAATCTCAGATCTTTATAGTTAACTTACTCTACAGCTATTCCCTGCTGCATGTACTGGCATTTAACTGGTGTGAAAATCAATAATCTCACATGCAGATGTGTAAATCGGATTATGTAGCTTTTGCTGTTGTGCAGCTTTTCATCATATCATATGATCTTCATCAGCAGTTGGAGTTTGACCAGCAGATGATCAAATATTTATCTCATTTGAGCACTTTAAGGACATCGTCATCCACACAATTTTGGGGAATTGTTCTGATACCGGCATCAGAAATGCATCCGATGCCTTTCTGACATGCTGCAGCAGTTCTGCTTGGCTAACGGAGCTAAGAGCTAAAGTTAACAGAGGTTATATATATATTGTTTGTTTGTTTGTTTGTTTGTTTAGTGGTGTATCGTGAAGAACTGGAAGGCGAGCCGATGAAGGCGCTCGACCGTTCTCTCTATTTCTCATTCTTCTTTTTTTTTACATCGTGCTCAGCAGTCGTAAGGCTCGATGTGAATGAACTCATTGGTCTGTAATCTGCTCAGCGAAGGAAGTGAGCAGCAGGAGGCCGACCCCGCCGCACCAGGCTGAGTACTTTGACAGCCCGGTTTCCTGCTTGGTGTGGCTCATTCTCTGCTCCATGTGAACCTCTGTGGAAGTTTATCAGTTAATTCTGCTCTCATGAATCCATGCCCGTGCTCTCTCAAAGGTTCACTTGCAGACTGAGTAGCACTCAAATTTGTTGTGTTTTTCCTCAATATACTTCCGTATCACTTGCTTTCACGGAGCTGATGGCTAATAGAGCTAACGGAATGCTGGAACTGTCAGCTGTGTTGCATCTGAAATACAGGAATGGATGGTTTTGCATTATTCAGGAAAGAGAAAACCTCCTGAGGTGAAAGTCTTTAACAGCTTTTTACTTCTGTGTCATTTGACCTCCACTTGGCTGCTGGTCCAGGCTGACTGAACGTCTGCACGTCATGGAAAAGTTGTGAGTAAAAAGAGGAAGGCCACAGCGCTGAAGTGTCTGAACACATTCCTCCTCCTCCTCCTCCTCTACAGCTGCATTTATCATGAGCAGTGTTTAATCTCACTGTCGAGCAGCGACTCGAAATGGCCCGACGGCACGGGCAAAAGAAATGGAACGACTTAGCAGCTCAATAACAAAAAAGGAATGACGGGAGACAAAGAGCCTGTGCACTTGCTCCAAACATCTGTTTTGCGGCTGTGCCGATGGTCATCGAAGTGAAGTGCTGGTGCTCTCTTCAGACAGCTCATCTGAGGCGTGCTGAGCCAAGAGCTAGTATCTAGACAAAGAGGCAGTACCTGACTATACTCTGTCAAGGTGGAGACAACTTCAACTCATGCAGTGATGAAACCTAAGCTAGCACACTCTACTTGCAAATTGTGTCTGTCTGAATCCCCCCAAAATGAACTAGTTGCGTCAGTGGAAGTCCTTTAACTCCCGTTTCTGATACATAAAATGAACATGATTCTAATATTAACCTGTGTTTATTTAGTGTGCAGCATTTAGGGGAATATATTAGCAGAAATGGAATATAACATTATTATGTATGTTTTCTTTTGTGAATAAGAAAACATACATAATAGAATTATTATTATTATGAAATTAAAGAATCGTTGTGTTGCCGTAGAGTGCACCATTTATATCTACATATGTAGCGGGTCCTCTTCACAGAGCTGGCCGCCATGTTTCTACAGAAGCCCAGAACGGTCAAAAACCAAACGCTGGCGCTAGACGGGGCCTTTTGTGTTTTTGCGTCGGCCACAGTAGTTCTCCGACACGCTCGGCACAGTTTCAGTTGGTTGCAATCTGCCTCCTCACTGCTCGATGCCGTCAAATCCTAAACACCGGACCTTTAGCATTCTAGCTAACTCCGGCATGTTTATGCCTTGCATTTTGATACTGATGTTCATTAACTTGCTCTGTATCTATGAAATAACCAAACATTTGATAAAAGTCGTGGGCCGTTGAACCAAAACCCTCTGCAGAGCTTTATTACTGCAGCTTTGAAGTTGCAGAAAACAGCATTGGAGAACAGGCAACCTCTTCCCAAACTAAAGAAGTTAATCTCTCACACGAACATAGAGACTAGAGAGCGTTTGAAGACAGCAGACCTGGTAGCAGCTCGTCAGGACTTGTTGAACAATGAGCCGATGTCAAAGCAGCTGCACTTTCACTGCTTTCATCCTCCCAAAACTCTCACCGGAAGAGAATAAAAGACGGCTTCTCGCCCTCTTAATGCTCGAGCAGTGGTGTCATTTAAGGACACATTCCCAGTGTTGGTACGATGACTCTGCCACTCGTCATGCCAGCCTCCACTGACCGAGGTTTGGGAGCGGTGCTCCGGGTTCTGAAAAAAAGAACAACCAAGAGAGGAGAAGTGTTAATACAAAGAATTCACCGCACGTCTGTGGGTCCATGCAGTGTGTTGCACAACCCTGACCACTAGGTTCATAATCAAACTGGGTGTTAGTGTTCGTTTTGGAGAAGTCTCCGTGACCTCTTTGAGGATCTGGGTTTAATCAGCTGTTGTTCTTCCCCGCTGTGTCTGGCGTTGAGTGACGAGCAGATTCTGCATGTTGGACAGAAGGAGAAGGAACCACACAGTGATCTCACTCCTCCATTAGATCGTAACTCTGTCCTCACTGTGTTTACATTTAAAGGGTTTAGAACATTTAATGTGGCAGTTATTGGAAAAGTAACTGTTTTCCTTTATTGTTTAAAAAAAGAGTTTAAGAGAAAGGTTTACTAAGAGATACCCAAGTTTTAAATTCAAGCAGTGTAAAAAGAAAACACATGACTATCATATAATCAAATTTGGATTATTGTTTTGATTGGATTAATAAAGAAATACTGGTCCAATTAAGACTATAAAAACCCTTGGATGATGTTGCGTGTGTTCAGCTTCTAAATGGATTACATTCTGCTCTTCGATGCTCTTTTAGTTTTTTCCTGTAACGACGGTTATGACGCTCTGGAAAATCACATGTTTGTGATCACAATTTATGAATAAGTGGGATTCATTATCAAGAACACCTGATTAAGAGCAGATTTGGATGGTAAACAGGTTTGGTGCATCTGGAGTTCACTTATTTTCTCTCTACATGGAAAATTGTGAGAAAATTACGAGAATGTTGCTGCATGAGGCCCAATGTAAGGGTCCTCTTAAACATACCTTATTAATTCTATAATAACAACAAGACGTTTTATTTGTATAACTCTTTAAAAGGTACTCAAAGGCACTTTACATCGTAAAAACTGAATACGTAAAAGCAATAACAGATAAATGACATAATAACAGTTCCCACAACACTGATTTTGTAGTTTTCACAATAGTTTCCATGTTGAAGCCACGTGCTACTTTGTTTACCGCTCAGATCCAGTTAGGTGGTTCTGTTCGAACGGTTCTAACCGGCCGTCTCATCAGCAGCTTGTATGTCTGACTCGTCCCAGTACTGATGTGTATTCCTGCTATTGTTCTGCATATTTCACAAACCATGAATTCTTGGCTTTGGCCCGGCTGCACTCCGTGTTGATAAAGAGCGAACATCTCCTTTCTGTCCGCGTCCTTATCATCTGAGACAGCAGCTTACCGAATGTGGTCTTTGTGGAGGGTCGTGGAACAACTAGTGTGAAATAAGCTTGTCAAGCGACGCGTCCCCGATTACAGCGGCTGTCCTCCCGCCATCAAGGGTTCACCTCGTCTGTAGAGGCGGAGCGGTCGCATAGATGGCCCGAGACAAATCACAGTTCAAACAAGACCGGGTGGTTCACCGCTTTCTCCAGAAGACTTGCCTCCTGTTGCATTTGTTCCAGTGCAGATAACAAGTTAATGAGTGTGGCACAAAGGGGGGGGCAGTTTAGATGTGGAGAAGCTCAGCGCTGTAGAGCTCCAGCTGCTCCAGCTGCTATGAAGGAAGGTCAGACTGTTCTCTCAGGAAGAGGAAACTGAGAGCTAGACTCTCTAGTGTGTGAGTGCATGTGCGTGCATTATATATGGCCCAGTATACCTGGACAACCTTGTCATTTCGTGCATTTAAGATCTTTTTTTGTGTGTTTGTGTTAAGGTCTTGACTTTGCTTTTAAAAATATAAAGGATGCCTCGCCATGAGTTTGTGTTCTGACTTTAGGAATGATTAAAAGGCCACGACCAGGAGACCTGAGGGTTCACAGGCAGCCAGGCTGCCAAATCTGGTGGAAAACCTTTCCCAGAACATTTATAACAAAAGCGTTTGTCCAGCATAAGCTAACTCCACACAGCTGCCAACAGCTGGCAGCAGCTCTCTGCTGGCGCTGGATCGGCTACTGTTGATGCGTTTGTAGTTTTCTTTATGGGAAGTCGCACAAAGTATTTACAAGAGTCTCTGGATGGTATCGGATCAGATTATGACCACCGCTGACTTCCTCTCTGTTCCCCTCTTGTCCCAGGTCACGGAGAATGTCACTGCGGGGAGTGTAAATGCCACGCCGGCTACATCGGCGACAACTGCAACTGCTCCACAGAGACGTCGTCCTGCATCGCCGACGACGGGCAGATGTGCAGCGGCCGGGGCAGCTGCGCGTGCGGCCGCTGCCAGTGCACCGAGCCGGGGGCCTTTGGGGACACCTGTGAGAAATGCCCCACCTGCCCCGACGCCTGTGGCACCAAAAGGTAAAGTCACACCACACGGTAATGAGCACAAAAAACGTATTTTTGTGACGCTTACATCATTTGTTGGAGGAAGCGGATAGGTTTATTACATGAGGGGGAAAAAAGTTAGAAAATTGAAACAAGGTGCCTTCAGCAATCTACAGAGATGAGACGAAAAAGGTCAAACCGTCAAACACAAGAAGACCAGAACCCCCCCCCCCCCCTCACTCACGTCTGGGGCTTATCTAAGCTTTGATGAGCAAGTCATAAGAGAGTCGTCCAGATAACTCTCATGCCATTTGCGACCCTGAGACATGAAGCTGTCGTCAGTCAGTGTGGCTCTTTGAGGTCGGGGGTTAAACGCCTATCAGACGTCTGGTAGAGAATAGTCAGAGTGGCTGCTGTGTTCTCTCAACAGGGCTGCTTACAAACACATGGCTCCGGTTTTCCAAGTCGACGGCAGTCTTTATGGAACAACCTTTCACCTTTGACCCGACTTGATTTTTAGAGAACGGGTCATCAATGTATCAAGTCATCAATGTTACGACCAGTTAGATGGCTTTTGAAAGAGGAGCTGAAGCTGTGCAGCAGCCACAAGTCTTGCGGAGGCGTGCACAACTGTAAATGTCTCCAGCTATTAGTGTATTTCTGCTTGATTTATAGTTTACCTCCACTGTGGGGTTTGTGTTTTACTTCAGCATGTTTAGTGAGCAGGGTTTCAAAAAAGACGGATGTATAACGGAGGATTTATTGCATGACATGTTTCAGACTGCAAAGGTTTTCAATAGATTTAATACACTGACAATTCGGTGGCAAATTCGCAAGAGAATTGCGCAACTTTCGCTACTTTTTGCACATATTTAAAGGAGGTAATATGCAGACATTTGGCACAAAATCAACCCCTTTCTATGCAAATGAGCCTCACTGCAAAAACGGTCCAATTCACAACAATTGGCGCAATTATAACGGGTGTCTCCTTTATTTTTGGTCATGAAAAGTATATGAATAAAGCTCCCCTACGTGAGAGAATAAAGAGATTCAGATAATCAATGAAGTAACACTGCTTTGCCTCACACAGCACCTCTTTTGACGGGGAGACGCATTATAGTTTCTGCTGCGGTGGGATTGCCGCAGGTATTTAATAAACTCAACAAAATGTCTCGTCTCAAAAAACTCTCAGAGTAAGAGTGTGTAATTGAAATAATAGTCGCAACGATCAGCGCTTATAGACACACCCAGTGAAATGACATGTTGACACAGGTTCAGATGATGCACAATTTATGATGCTATCAACGGCCGCGATCCATCCTTTGTGAGTTCGCCCCCTCAGTGTGTGATATCCAAGGGGAGAGGAGTGTTGGACGTCTCTTTATCTCTAGCATCAACAAAATAATGAGTTTCAAATGCATGTTTTTACAAACTTGATGCTGTAAAATGTCACAGAAACCCAAAAGTGACCGTAGCAGCATCGCTAACGGATGAAGTCAAATCACCAGCTGCACTTTATTTGTTTGTTTCTTCACGGTTCGCCTGCTGTTCAGCTGCTGACAGTTTGCTGCAGAGACACTTCCAGTGTTTTTAATAATAAGGGAGCGCCGTGGGGTGTTTTTGACAGCTGACGTACCCGGACTAGGCCTGGTGTAGATTCGTGCTCTCCGAGTGCTTTCAAGCTCATGGATAAAGATGAAAGGAGGCATTTGAAAAAGATACTCTGCTTTTCCATTAAACTTGCTCTCCTCCGCTTCAGGGAGTGTATCGAGTGCCGGCTTTTCGACTCAGGACGGCTCGCAGACAACCAGACCTGCCAGCGCCTGTGCAAGGATGAAATCATCACTGTGGAGACCCTCGGTGAGTACACACACGCACACACACACACTCAGACTAGCTGGTTGGCAGAGACCAGTATACACACCAGTGGCATCTGCGACAGTCTCGCTTTGCACTTCACACACGTCTTCCACTGTCACTATTTACTTGACTTTTAACATAAAATAACCATGTTGTTACGGTGGGTCAGTAGATCGGTTAACACGCAGCCATATTTTACTATATATATATTAATAAATTAGAAATGGCTAATATGTTTGATTTTAGCAAATATGTTGTGAACTGTAGAAAATGTTAATATATTGAATTAAAATCTGTACAGTATAGACAGTGGTCTAAATATGAACAGTATGATGAATCACTTTGGACAAAAGCATCTAGCGAATAGATGTAATATAATGTTTCCCAGGCAGAATCACACAAAGCAGCAAATCCCACGAGCAAGATGTGAAAGTGCTAAATGAGAAGCCGAGCTTTGTCAAACTGTTGTGAACAGAACCATGTCCTGTCCATGTCCTCCATACGCAGCTCTCTGTGTGTTGATTGGGGCTTCGCAGCTCCACATCTTTTCTTGTTTAACACCTCGCTCACCTCCCGTGGTTCGATAATGAAAGCACACCCAGGGAGAGCCGGTTGCGTCTTGCGTCCCGATGTTTTTGGTAATATGCGGCAGGTGTCATTCTGAGCCTCTCGCAGCTCCACAGCCAGCATCGACTCCAGTACAAACCCCCCTCGTGTGGTTTCAAAGAGCTCTAGTACAAAGTCCCTCCATGCTTCTTCTCTATCGGCAGAATCCACCCACTAAACAAACAGGCAGGAAGGTGGAGTTTATAACTCGCTATGACTGCAATGGAGTGCTTCTCTCTGCTTTGTTGTTTTACATCCCTCACAGCCTGGAGGCAAATAGTCCGGAGATGTTAAGGAATGCATTACTAAGCGCACAGTGATTTATGGTCTTTGTGGCACCATGATGCTGCAGAGCAGAGCAAGGGTTGTGTGTTCAGTTACAGAGATTATTATTAAGACCGATCCATATTGGCCCAGCGTGGCCCTGACCCAGATCCGACAGGGTTTCGCAGCGTTACCTCCGCTAGCTCAGCCATCTGACTGGCCTTAATGGACTCCACATGTTCATTCCAGATACTTCGTGCATGAAATAGAGGAGGGCGGGGCTGATGGGGAGAGGGTGGACCGGGGCAGCATGACCTCACTCTCTCCCGTGTGACCTTTTTTGGATGATGAAGATTGACTGGAAAGCGAGGGCAGGCACAATATCGTTTATAGCGTCTCACTTGTGATTTCACAGCAGAGAAATTCCGTCTATGTGGTGATTTTTCCCTCAGTGTCAGATTCCTCTTCAGTGTTACCTCACCCTCTCCTCCCTTCATCTCTCTCTCTTTGGTCCTGAATCTGAAGACAAACCTCGATGGATAACAATGATGTAATACGACAATAATTCCTTCATAACTCCGGTAGACAGTGAGCTCATGCTGAATGAAGAATCAACCGAACTGATCTTTTTTTGATTCGAAGAATATTTTCCCTAAATGAAAGTAAAGAAGCTTAAAGTGGATAAAAAAACAAGTCAATAAAAGTTAATTTTAATCAAGTAACTCATTGTTTTGTCCATGTTCTTTTACATCCTTCTGTGATTAATGTATGTAAAACAATTTAAAGACGATCGTAACTGATCCAACGTGAGCTCGATCCAAAATTCTCCTCGGCATTTCTTTCTGTGACTGATTGAAGTGTTTCTGTGCTTTCCCTTCCAGACACGGAGGACCCCGGCGCTGTGCTTTGTCTGTACAAGACAGACAACGATTGTGTCATGAAGTTCACGTATTCTGAGCACGCCAGCGGGCAATCCATCCTCACAGCTCTAAAAGAGCCAGGTCAGTGCCACACAACAACTAATTACGTATTCGCTCCTGGTGTTAACCTGCTGAGATCTGAGTGCCGTTGGGTTGTATTTGTGGTGCAATGAATTACATGAAACGCTGATGCATTTGATGATTAAGTGCAAACTTAAAGGCGCAATGAGTTGCACAAAGAACAATAGATATTAATGCAAGAACCAGTCATACAAACGGATTCGTTCTTAAGCGGCTTGTACGAGTGATTTAGGAGAACTTGCGACATTTACCAAATTTCTCGTATTTCAAATCTTCTCTTAAGGAACGAACAAGTGTGTGGTCCGACCCTGTCGTAGGAGTCATGTGACGTTAGACGTAACACACGGCTGACGTTCATGTTTACTCCGGTGATTTACACAGTTAGCGGAAGTTGTGAGCGTTTGCTGAATCTGACGTGAGTCCAACGTACAATAACGTGTCCGAGAAAGTTAATATAAAAATATACCAAAATGTAAATAATCCCTCTGTCATAATTTAAGACCCTCTGGAAGTGTGAGGTGGTGTCTGTGTCGCCCTCTGCTTGGTTTTACGTACTTTACCGTGTTTGGGCGTCAACCTCTATAAAAACGTAGCAACAAGTGCCAGATCGTAAGAAAGAGGAAGTTACAAAAATGGTGGACACGGTGTGAAAATAAAAGCAAATATTGCAACAAAGCTGGTTCCAAAACGAGAGCGGTGAGCACCCTGAATCTTAAATACAAACTGCAAACCCTACTCCTTCTACCTTTCATTAACTGTCTTAACTAAGCGAGGGACTTTTAGATTAGCCTCCATTACAGGATTCCACACACAAAACACCATTAAAGGATATTCGTGGCTTGTTTTTGTTGCTTTGACCATCATTCCTTTTCGGTGATGCTGACATTGTTCTCACCAGTGATTCGATCTGAATCTAACTTGGTCTCTTCCTGATTCAGAGTGCGGCGGTGGACCGGACGCTCTGATGGTGCTGCTCGCCGTGGTCGGCAGCATCCTGCTGGTGGGAGTGGTGCTGCTCGCCGTCTGGAAGCTGGTGATCACAGTTCATGACCGGAGAGAGTTTGCACACTTCCAGAACGCACGCTCACGAGCCCGATACGAGATGGTAAGCACTTTGCTCAATAGGCTAATCACACTTCATTTTCACAGCTGACGGGCAGAACTTGCACTGTACTGTCCTGTGATCTTCCCCTTCTCTGCTTTACATACAAATAAAGCGGCAAAATGTCCACCGTTGGAGGCCATTGTGTCGTAGAGTGTTGTAATGTGCACAAAAAAAAATGTATTCTGACATTGTAATCCTGCTAATAATCCCCTTTTCATCTGTAATCTAATTATGTCCTTTTTGTAACCAAATACCTTTTTTTGTATCCTAACTGCACAACGCTGTTTCACGTGTTCCCTTACTGAGAACTCTTACTTGGAGTTCAAATCTCTCATTTTGTGACTTTCTGTTTTGTTTCTCTCTCACACGCCTCCAGGCCTCCAACCCTCTGTACAAGCAGCCCGTGTCTACACATTTCTTAGAAACAGATTTCAACATGTATGAGAAGTCCTTCAACGGAGGGGTCCACTGATCCCTCAGCACGGGGCGCGGCAGGACCGGTCCGATGAACAGATCCCTGCAGGACGGAGGCGGACTGAACACACTCGATTCACACCTGATAAAAGAAGTGAAATGAACTAGACTGTGTCCGATGAGGTGGGGGTGGTCTGTGGCCTTTTTTTTTTTTATATTTACGCAGGAGACTCACACCTACCACAGACATGATGTGACTTCTTCTTTTCTTCATCTGTGTGTTTTTCACAGTCGGTGGAAGAAGGAAGCGTGAACTCCTCGGTCGTGTTTAGAGAGAGAGAGAGAGAGAGAGAGTAGAGTTAGCGGTGAGTTTGTCTGCAGTTACACAAAATAAACAAACTCTCTCCAACCACATAAAACCACCATTCAATCTTTGCACAGAGCAGGCAGAACATTGGCTTATATTTGTATATTTTCATAAACACTAAAAATGCCTTCTTTTTTTTGTTGTTGTGTGTGTAAACTTTGCAGCCAACAGGATCATTTCATCGGATCATTTCAAATGCACAGGATTATTAAAAAGCACATATTTCTGACGGTGGCTGAGATGACGTTGTGGTACTACTAACATTTACTAAGCAATAGACTTCTTACCCTCATTTTGCACAGAGAATATTAAGAGGCAAGTAAAGAATCACATTTTCGTGTGTGTGTGTGTGTGTGTGTGTGTGTGTGTGTGTGTGTGTGTGTGTGTGTGTGTGTGTGTGTGTGTGTGTGTGTGTGTGTGTGTGTGTGTGTGTGTTATTGTACGCTCCAGTTGCACTCCCTTCTGTTAATCTGAATTGTAGGAATTCCAACTCACCTCCCAGCCTTTGAACACTTAAAGTGAGGCTGGTGTTTCTCTACATTTGTCTTTTTTGTTGGCAAATCCAAAGAGCAAAACCAACAATGTGGTAGTCCCTCAGTTCTTTCAGTTGTCTGCGGCGCTCAGACCCAAACTCATTTGTTCCGACTGAAGACGTGAATCTCTAAAAGTTCTCTATATTGAATGCTGCATGGATGTAGGCCAAAAATCTGAAGATGTCACCGTGGGCATTAGGAAATAGTGACAGACAATTTTATTTTTGGTACTATTTTCAGACATTTTGTTGACCAAACGATTAATGGAGCAAACAATAGGTAGCTTAATCTATAATGAAAATAATAAATACTTCCAGTGCAACAGTGTGGCTCATTGATGCGTCTCTAATGGAGCTACATCAGGCTCTCAATACAAAGACAATTCTTGATAGTTGTTTAGGATCATTGTTGGTTTTGGTCTTTGCGTTGGATTAAAATAAATACACACATGTATGAATAAAAAATATCACCAGCCTCTGAACCCTTAACACCTCACAATCTGGACTGCCTTAAAGCGTCCTCGTGTGGTGATAGATTTGTAGAGTAGATCTCCTCTAACTTGGAATAGAAAAATGTGCAGTACTGTGAGTTGATGTGGATTTGGGCATACAGTACAGTGTAAAGTCCCTGTGAGGCTGAGTTTGGGCATACAGTACAGTGTAAAGGAGTTTGGGCATACAGTACAGTGTAAAGTCCCTGTGAGGCTGAGTTTGGGCATACAGTACAGTGTAAAGGAGTTTGGGCATACAGTACAGTGTAAAGTCCCTGTGAGGCTGAGTCCACCCTGCCTGCACTGGGAGTGGGTGGAAAACTTTGAGGAAAAACCTCAAAGGAGAGCGTCCAGAGTCATAAATCTACCGTCACTGTTCCCACAGTGAGACATGAGGTCTGAACTGTCGCAGGGAATTCTGGCAGTGAGACATGTTCGACGGGGTCGGGCGAGAAAGAAGGTGCGACGCTCTTACAGTAAAAGTGGCAGGGACTTGGAGTTTGTGTGTGTGTGTGTGTGTGTGTGTGTGTGTGTTTGAGTGCAAAGAGTGTGTGTAAATAATATAACGAGGGTATGTATGTACATATGGTGCCAAATGAAATGAAAATGTTTTGAACCGGCTCAGCTGTGCGTCTCGGCATGGTTTACTAAAACTCACCCACACCCACCTTTTTCTGCTCAAAACATAGATCTTTAGTTCTTCTTCCTGTACAGGCGTGAATGTTTTCACATGGATGAACAGACTCACACCACTACATCTTTATGTAATACTGCACAGCGAGAACAATAAATCAGCTTGTGTCAAAAAAGCCGGCGGGTCTGTTGTGTTTGGCTCAGTCGTACGTTACATATCAGAGGCTGCGTTGGGAAGAGCGCCATCAATCTGTGGTCTAATTTTAAACATCGCACATAACTCGGCCTGTGTGTCTGCACCCTTCAAAGTTTCGTGAAACATCTGTTTAGCTCCTCTAGCCGTGCTGGCTCATGTTTGATGTGTGATCACACAGACAGGGAGGCCGGTCTGATGTGTCCTCTGATGCTGTAATTTAAGTTTTTACAGAACAGCCCTTTAATAACGTATCCGGTCGCTTACTTAGAATTATGATCTTCAGGGCTTAACACTAGCTTTTGAAAGTGGCTTCAGCTTTCGGTTGACATTTTTAGTCGGCATCTATTTTGAGTAATGAAGATGCAGTTACACGTCGGCTTAATAATACAAATGTGACGACAAAGAAAAAAAGCTTTGGTGTGGCACTCGAACGACATCCCACAAACAACTCAAACGACTTGTTTCACCATTGTCTCCAAATCAGATGCATGTACAGCAACAATATATTCGATATTCAAGTCACTAATGTAACAAATATTTAAATGTGTACACAAAGGTTTACATGTGTACAGAGAACTGAGTACACATTTCGAGATCCTCGTTCACATTCACAAATCTGTGCATGCATCTGTATGCACAGTATGGATATGGATTGAGATACAGTTTCACAACTTTACACACACATGTTCATATAATATAACCTGTCTGCATATACCTCCAAATTGCATGTTCTAATGTCGGTTGTTGAGGACTTTTCTGGTCGTCTAAAACTCGTTGGGAAAACCCAGAAACACAAAAGTTCAAGATGAAAACCAAAGTTGTGAGGCCGTCTCGCATAAGGCAGGAGGGAACTATAGCTGTGATGTGAACAAGTCAATGTTTGTTCAGTTATTCCGGCTTGAGGTGAGCTCATAAATCTCTGCTTTCGGGTTGGTTTCCCTCCCTCCCCCCCCCTTCCTCATGCTGACTGGGTCTTCTGCCAGCACACTGACATGCTTGTAAAGTCCCAGAGCTCAGGTTCTATCTGGCTGTGGGAGGGAGGGAAATAAACCCTGTTGGTGTACAGAGGTCTCACCCTCATTAACAGAATCAATGTCCTAATTATCTGCTGATGGAAAATTGATTTTTGAGAGCGTAAATGCTTTTCTCTGCTGAGTATACATTTGTTATATTTAAGATAACCGGACTTTTCAATGTGATTAACTGCAAACAGCATCAAATATTTACATTTTTTGCGCAATTACGTCTCTTTTATCTGAGACACTCCCACAAACTTTTCCAGCATTTTCGGGAATTCTCTAAAATCGCCTTTTCTGCCTTTTACAGAGGTTTTCTATATGTTCAGTAAAGTGTTGTTCTGCATCGTTAAACCACAATGGACGGTCACATCTGATCCTTTACATTTGTGACAAATGGATTGGTAATGATTCCAAGACCCAGACTGAAATATCCCAACATCCACGAGATGGATTGCCACGATGTTTTGTGCAGACATCCATTGTGCCGAGAGGATGAATCCTACTGACTTTGGTGACCCTCTGACTTTTCATCTTGTGCCATCATCAGCTCATATTTTATTTACTGGCATTCCCATCGGCTTCAGCTGTACTTTTAAGTTTATTGGTAATCAGGAAATATTAGCACGCTAACATGCTGAATTAAAATGGTTAACAATAGACCTGCTAAACCTCAGCATGTTAACACTCATTGTAACACTAATGTTAGTGTTTATCTCATATCACCTCTGAGCCTAAATACAGGCTCACAGAGCTGCGAGCATGGCTGGAGCCTTGTTACAAGAACATGTGCGTGCGTTTGTTTCTTCCTGTGTATTCTGTATTTAATGTACACATAGATGATGTCACACTTCCTCGGCTCACACTTCACACCCGTCTGAGAAAAGCTTCTCCGCTGTAGAAACTATCTCTGACTTTTAAGAACTAATCTGTTCCTTTTATTTGTCGCCGTTCCTGTTTTAAAAAACAATTCCGTTCTACCATCCTTCCGCTTTATATCCTCAACACAGCATCTTTCCATTCACGCTGCTTTCTCAGCATCATTTCTCTTTTAAGGTTCTTCTCAGCCTGAAAGCTCTGCCACTTAGAGGAATTGAAAATGAAGCTACACCTCGCCACGGATCGGCAACACTGACAGCTTTGTGCTGAGCAGTGGAGAAGGCCTTCAAATATTTACAAATGTGGCTAATATTAGCTTAGCTTCTTAGCTGTAGCAGCAAAACCTCTTGAGTGTGTTGAAGGGAAAAAGGTTTGTTTTGTTAAGAATTAAAAATTGTATTATTTCTTTTTCTTTCAAAATGTACGTTGCACATTAAGCAAAAGTTTAAATATTACGGTAAAATGCTCTGTTACAATTTAAAGTCCGTTACATTTTTACTTAGTCTGTAGGATTTATAAGCAGAAATGGAATATAATTAAATCAAAATGATGTTTTCATTAGTCTTTATGACCTGAAACTAAGAATTGTGTATACAGGGAGCGGGTCCTCTTCACAGAGTCCGCCATGTTGCACCGCCATGTTTCTACAGTAGCCCAGAAAGGACAAACCAAACACTGGCTCTAGAGCCGTTCATGTTTTTATGTTACATGAAGGCCACCGTAGTTCTCTGACACGCTTGGAAAGGGAGGAGTGAGCGGATGGATGTTCAGTTGGTTGTAGTCTGCATTCTCACCACTAGATGCCACTAAATCCTACACACTGTCCCTTTAAGTAGAGTCACTAGAATTAAAAGTGCCTTCTTAAGTTTCCTCGTAAACAAACAAGTTACGTGCAGAAATGTAAGGTGACAGATATTAGGGGAAAGAAGAAGGATGACAAAGGTCTGGGATTATGTGGCAACTTTTTTTAAATCTAATTTATCAAACAG